ATTCTTTGTCTCTTGCAGGTCACCCATACAAGTTCCATAGAAACTTTTCATGTCATTGTGGCAGATTTTAAGCTCTTATTTGGTTATTTAAAGCTGTGTTTTTGCTCTGTTTAAATGCTGTTCTGTGTTATAACTTGTGCAAATGGAAGGTAGAATGTTTATATATAAAGGTGCTTTATAATTTAAAACAATTACAGCCGTGAGGGTTACATGACCATACTTCACCATGCTGGTTGTTGAAGATTTGTGGGGAAGTCACATTAGTTATCCACCTTGGCTGGAGGCAACCCACTTGGCTGCCAATGAGCCAAGTTCACTCAGGAAATAAACCACTCTATTTGGGAATTGAATACGTTCATGGAGGTCAGCAATCTATCTATTTTGAACTTGTTTTGAACCGTACGTAGCCAACCGTGCTAATCGGAGGTGCGAGCCTATTCTGATAGGCCAATACCACAGTGGATTGATGCTCATCTGAGGGGGGAGTACTCTCGTAAATGGGACTTGCCCAAAAAGGATTATGCCAATCTTAGCTTGTTTGTGCTGCAACTGATGTTCACCCTCGCCAGATATCAATCTCAGGACACTGGGTTCATTGCACACTGTGTAACTACTGTGCCGCATGTTGTGATATTGTCGTGTTTCAAACGGTGCCCTGTAGTTTAATAAAAATGTTTCGTGTGAATAAAACTGTTCGGTTTAGTTGGTCCTCGTCAACAACACAGCGGTGTATATTTAACACCGTCATTATTTCTATTTCCCTTATTAGTAAAATATTTTATTTAAAATGGTACACTGCAGCGTTTACGAATTGAAAAATGGAACAAGCACATTGGGCATTTTACGATTAAACAATTATGACCAATCATGACAAATTAATCAATTGAACTTACTCTACACAGATAAATTGTCGATCCCCTACTGCAAAAAACTTTGGCGGGATACTCCTGAACAATAATCATGAGACTCAGTGGTGCTGCCCTAGCTAAACAACGAATAATAGTTTAAACAAAATAAATAACACCCTCATTACTGCTCCATAGTTGTCCGATGCATCCTCTGGCCCTAACCATAGGAATGTGGGATTGTATCCACTTGTTCAAGGCTGCCAATGGAGAAAATTATGGCTGAATTATTTTATGAGCATTGGGCACATTTAGAGAAAATAATATTTAAGCTTTAACTTAATTGTCATCAGTCATGATGAATCCACTGCTGGATTCAGGTCATCATCATTCCTGAAGGTCTTGTGATGCTATGAACCATATTGCCCCTGTACATAACTGACCCAATCTCATTGCTCATTCTCTCTGTGATTAGCCTTTTGGATACATTCCCTAATTTTGGCTGCCATTCCATCAGCAGTTTCATCCTCCAGCCATCATACCTTCCAGAAGTGTCCCGCCCTCACCAATGATGTTAGCCATGGCCGGGAATCGAACTCAGCCCAGCCAGATAGATACCTGCATATTCCTCTACCGCAAGAAAACATTTATCTGCCTTGACTGCTACAAACGCATGAACGTAAGTTAAGTTGATTACTCGGTTTGGTCAAAAATTCAAGCTGCTTTGTTGGGAGTTAAAGTCAGTCATAGAGGTCAGCAAGCCCATGTTTGTATCCCTTCACTGCACTGGCTTCGTGCATGTCTATTGGCTGCAGTAAATGGGTCACGCCCAGGAAAGATTATGCCGGTCTAAGCTCGTTGTGTAACAGCCCCACATTCTGTTTGTGAGTTTAGCCCTGCGTTCGCTGGTTACCAGCCGCGGCTTAAACCACACTCGCCACCCACGCGCGAAAAGTAATTTAGATTTTTTTTTAAGTTGGAGACCATGAGCTTAGAGAAAGAGAGAGAAAAATTGTGGCTGTAAATGTGATGCGGGGCTGCCACTTGACGTGAGTTCAGATGGTATGCTGATCGACAGTGCGGGATGCTCATGTTTTGTAAGGGAGTAAAGTGCTGTGGTTCATTTTTTTTGTGTGCACTTTTCAAGAAATGTGTATACAGTGTGTAGTTACTACTTCTGATGTGTTCTCTTTTATACAGTTTGATGCAGACCGTTCGCATCTTGCAGAGTGGCACAATGGATTGAGCACTGCACTCACAGTTTAAAGATTGTGAGTTCAGATACTGGTAGGGCATCAAATAAGCCAACTATTTTCATGGTTGATAAAATGACGCTGCTTTGCAGAAAGTCAGTTTATTTTGTTAGCCAGGTGAGCACTTAAGAGGCACCGTTAGCCTCATTTGTTAGTGATCTGGGTGTGAGAATCAGAATCTTTATTTCGACCAGAGGAATCTGATGAGCTGTAAAGCAGTTTTCAGAGATGTCCAGTAGGGGCAGATTAGCAAGTTACAATTACAAACAATACAGAAAATGATAGGGTTGAAAAATAGAGAAAAGGGAAGCAAGTCACAAAATAGCTGTGCAAATTGCATAAGTACATAAATGTCTGCAAATATTTAAACACTAAATGCAAGGCTTGAGCAAGGAAGTAAAGCCACAACAACAAAAATAGTCCCCAGACCACACAAAGACAACAACACACAGTCTTATTAAAATCGCACATTAAAATGTAACTATCGACACACGGGTAAGGGATCAAAGTTACAAAGCGCATTTGTAATTGTGGTTGTCTCCAGCACTAATCTTCTGCGATTGATTTGCGGATAAACTGCGCCCTTCCATAGATGTGTGGAGTTTGTACCTCCGGTTCAGGGCCATTGATGCACGCGAATGTCGCCCCAATGCTCATTTGAGCAAGGGGAGGCCGCTTGTTGCCTGATGCAGGTTAGCAGGAACGGACCACTCACTCGGCCTGCAAGTGATTGACACCCATTCATTGCCTGCGATTCGATGAAATTGTCACAGTGCCGGGGGTGGGGGGGGAGTTGCAGTCCGTTTCACCGCCCAGGTGGCTCGGCGGCAGAGCGAGCGGCTCGCCATCAGAAGGTTGTGAGGTAAAATCCTGGCTGGGCGGTTGACTTGGCCTATCAACTCCCACCCCCCCCCCCCCCCCCCCCCGGGGTCATTAATGAGCACCACTTTGTGGGGAAAAGTCAACATTGGTTGTCCTATGGATAAACTCGTCCCTGCCATAGGAATGTGGAATTTTAAACACTGGGTCAGGGCTGTAAACAGTAGATAAGTACCGGTAGTAGTCCCCACCCCCCTATGCTCATTTGAGCAGGAAATTAGTTTGACTTGAGTTCAGTTTAAGAATCCATTATTTTGTCTCGTTGTTAGTGTCCTGTTTTGCATTGTTTTAAAACAAAATTCTCATTTAGTCACTTTTGTCAGTTCCATTTTCTTAAATGTAACATTTGCATAATATAATCTGCATGCTTTGTAAATAGACTATACGATTCGATTTCAATGGGTGATTCAATGTATCGTTATGTGCCTACTATTAACTCATAAAAAAACAACTCTGGTTCACTTTATTTCCCTCGCATATTATTTAAATCACTTTTCTGCTATGGGTGCTTGGCGATCATACAGTATGTATACAATTGTTAAATTTCATGCAGAATGAAATTCTTACAACCTAATATACAGCATGAAATGTGTTAGAATAGTTTCATTGCAAAGACATATGCTTTCTCATTTGTGAGTGGTCCAATTAGCAGTACGGTTAAACGATAAAGTCTATTATCAACATTGCATTTGGTTATCTCGGGCATATACACAATGTAGTACATGTTGGACATTCAGCGTGGCGTTGCATGGATGAGCATGTGTGTATCGATGTGTGGTTTTAATGACAGATATGGCTATGTTGTCTCATTGCTGAGCACTACTTGATTCTTAATAACCCATTGCTAACCGATTTTCATGGTCCATGAGAATAGGAATAGGCTTTTCAAGTGAATATGTGGCAGTAGTGTTTTACTTAAAACTGCAAAACTTCACTGGTCCCATTTTAAGAATTTGAGTCACTGATTGTTATCACTGAAGTGGTACATCAGGGATGCTTAGAAGAGTCGATGCTCAAGCAGGATTTTGACTCGTGGTGTTTCGATTTGGGGTTGAGCACTCTGCCAAAGCACCACGTGGCCGGATGTTACTGGTAAACATTGCAGTCAATGTGTCGTGTGTGTGTGTGTATCAAATGTGTGTACAATAGTGGTGGTCAAGTGGACAAACCGATGGCTGCCTGTATTTCTCATAAATTATGTGGCAACAGCATTGCATGTTGATTGTCGTCGATGTTATCCAGGTCACCGATGCACAAGAGCCAATGTTGTTTCATGGGAATCAATGGGTTTATTTCATCTGCTGGTTAAGAAAAGGATACAACAAACAGCAACAAATCATATGCCTTACCCAGTTCTTGAAATAATAAAGTAATTTATGTTTGTGCTTGTTTACCAAGTAAAGCCTCACTCAGTATCACTGCTGCAGAGCAGCCCTGTCAAGTTTTCACAGTATGGGGAGATTTTGCTATGTGCAATCTCTAATTAGTAATTTTCAGGTAATTTTTCAGCATTTCGATGTTTAGCCAATACCAATGAAATTTTATGGTTTTTGTTAGCACATTTGGCTAGTACAGCGCGAAAGAAGTTCAGCATAAATACATACAAATCTGGGAACTCAGAGGAAGCTCATGGGTGAACTTCTAAAATCCACTCAGAAATGTGTCCGAGTCAGGAATCGAACTGAGGCCCTTCTTGCTGTGCGAGGCACGAGTGTTATTACTGCTGTTTTTGGGCTGTACCGTGTCTTGATCTGCATGATGTCCGATGATGTCTGACGTTTCGCTGCACGTGTTGCGAGCTTATTTCGGAACCGACCGATTCCTGGATATCATTCCCGCAGAAGCGCCTCCTGCACAGGGAGCGAAATGTTGGACATCGTGTCGAATAGCACCCGGTACGACCCCCAAACTAACACATTAGAGAGCAGATGAGTGGAACATTGAGAGGCGACAGTCAAGGAGTTGTGCTGCCACATGTGGAATGAGCTGGAGCCGCTGTGCCTGTGCTGCGCACGATTTGCAGTGCCCCACGACCACCTGCTGCTCAGCAACCGTGCCCAGGTGCAGGTGGCGAAGCGCAGCTACGAGGATGCACTGTGCGACGCCGAACTCGTGTGCCTGCTCCAGCCGCTGTGGTCCAAGGTGCGTGGGCATCATCCATACCCTACCCAGCCTCACACACACGCACACCTGTTCTGCTGTTCCACGGTGGCGAGATGTTCATTACCTTGCCTAGCTATACAGGAGGTCGTGGGTTCGATCCAGACCCTGACTCCTGCATATTTGGAGTTTGCATGTTCTCCCCTTGGTTGTGTGGATTTTTCTCTGGGTCCTCCGGTTTTTTCCCTCCACATTTAGACTAGCCCCACTCATCTGTTCCACCTGGAAAAATCACCTAGGTTACTTACAAACAGTGCACGTGACTTCATGAAAGGCAAAGGTGCAGTCCTGCAATGTCATGGTGGCAAGATGTTAACTGCCTGGCCTGGTAAACAGGAGGTCGTGGGTCCGATCCCCACCTGTATATTCGGAGTTTGCATGTTCATGTGGATTTTTCTCCGGGGCCTCAGGTCTTTCCCTCCACATTTAGAATAAACGTGTGTTTCGAGTATTTGGCTGCTATAAATGTGCACGTGATATGCACCCGTCGTTGAGCTATCATTTCTGGCCAGGTCACTTCTGAAAAATAGCTAATTAGCTCAGTGGGCATTACCTGGTAAAATAAATAGTTTAGTTTAGTTCCTAATATCATCTTCCCAATGCAGTGCTATGGCCGAGCGCTAACATGCTTATCGCGTGTTGCAGAGGCTCACGGTTTGAGGCCAGCCGCCGCCCTGCTTAATACTGTAGGGTTATTACCCAAAAGTATTGTGGTCTTGTCTGCGTCACAAGAATGGCGCGAATACCAAATGTACTCGTGATTCTGTTTTCATTGTTTTATATAATAATAGTAATGCTTCTTTCTCCTGCTATGGTGAGATATTCTTCTTCCTGAGCTTTGTCCTGGAGTTTTGTACCTCAGAGCTAGAAACCCTTCCCAGCAAGTGACGAGAGTTCTTAAAGGGACAGTTATTGCATTGCTCGCGCAACGGCTGTCGCCGTCTTCTTCTCTGCTGCCCCTTTAGTTTGGAAATCTCTTCCCCTGGTCATCTGGGCTGGTGGCCTCCTCCACCTGTTCAAGTCCAGGCTGAAGACATTACTAATTTGCTCTTCCTATAACCGACTTGTCTCTGTATCTGCCGTCTCAATTTCGTCCACGATCCACTGTAATCTGTTTTCTTCCTACCCTTTTCTCGGGTCAGTGGCTATATTCAGATGAAAGTTGTTTACCGCGTAAAGTGGTCTTTACGTAACTGGGACACACGACACTCAGACTCTCTGAAAGTGCTTTCCCCCTTCAGGACTTGATGGAAAGTCAGTACATGAGTGTACATACAGTATTGGATATATATTTTTCTTGTACTCATCTGCAGATGGGCCTTTATTATAAAAACACAAGCACAAACTGTTGTTTGCCTGCAAGAGCTCGTGATCATTTGTCAAACATTCAAATACCCATCTCCCCTACGCAACTTATGCTTTTGCAAATGTTATCCATTTTACACCAGAGATTCGGTATATCTTTGGTTCTGAGGGAGGGTGGGCCGATCATGCAGATATCACTCGCCGACAGCACAGCAGCGAGGTGCCTCTGAGGTAGTACAGCAACTAGGTCACTGAACTGTGAGGAAACTTTGAGTGGAGTCCCCTCGTATGTATCTAAACTAAACTATTTTATTTTACAGAGTAAGGCCCACTGCGCTATACAGTATAGCTCTTTTTCAAAATCCATATGACCATGCAAACTCCAAATATACAGGCATCATCAGGGTCAGGATCGAACCTATGTCTTCCTGTATACCAGGCAACGTATGAACATCTCACCATCATTGCGTTCCTAACTAAACCATTCAAACATCCCAACACTGAAAATTTGCCTCCAAATTACTCATGGGATTATCCGCAGCAGCATCGCCTCCCTCCTGTAACAAACTTGGCAGGACCCTCCTGATAAAGAGTCTCGGTGAGGTGTTGCTGGATAAAATAATCGTGATAAAAAATAATAATATGGGGGCTTGCTGCAGGCATTCTGGTTTCATAATAAAAGCACAACTATTCAAAAAGGTCGCAGCATCCACTTGGATATGAGACTTGAGCCTCAAGAGGGATCTCGTGAGATAATTAAATACATTGAGGCCCATCATGTTCAATGCCATTGGTGCCAATTGACCATAAAAGTGCATACGTGCATCGCAACAATGTGAGAAAACATGAACAGCCGATGTTTCTGAACTTCAGGTGCTGCTCTTCATCCAATGCATGAATGCACAATGCCCTTTGCAAGTGAATATTTCTCTTTACAGGGTCGATATGAGTGTTTAATTACACAGGAGATGAAAACACCATTTGCTGGGTCTCAGTCTTTGAGTTGTGACCAAGCCGTGTGCAGGTATAGCAACGAAAAAAGCATTGTTGGGTGGGGCATGTATGCAGAATAAAGAAAGGCTGTCGAAAACAGAAATTATATTGGAACCCAGAAGTTGGTAAGTATGTAAATTGAACCTTGTTTGCACCATACGTAGTCAACCGTGCTCATCAGATGTGCAAATGGTGGGACACTATGAGCATACCTTTGCAGGTTAGTTGTGGGAGGTCCAGCTGAAGGAAGAAAGGGAAATTGCGGTGTAGTCGCATCAACCGCATTGACTTTGGTGAAGTGTTTATCCTAGAGTGTGTGCTGCTGTGCTGCTCTTAGGCGACTGCAGCAGTGGAATAAGTGCATTCCGCTAAAAGTTATGTCATCAAAAATAGCCTTCGAGAAAAAGCCTCAAGGGAAGCAGACTATCGATTTGTGCGTTTGAGCTTGCGCCCTCTCAAGCTTGTTTGACTCGTAAAGTTAATTGGTAGAGGTGCAGCCCTGCAATTGCACGCTCACAACGCCACTGGCAGAAGGGGGGCTCCACTTGAGGGGGCTCTGGAGCAGTGGCAGAATTCCTTTATTGAGGATGTTTTGGCTAGACAACATTCAGGGTTAGAACTCACTGCAATCGGTGGGGATACCCATTCTTTACTCCAACACAAGTAACCTGTCAATGGATATCTGTGGTGTATTGGACATAAGCGAGTGGGGGTGGTGGGGGGTGGATTTAAGAAACTCGCCCCGCTGTTTCCAAGTGCCGCACCGGGAGATTGAGCTGGCGACCTCCAGATTGCAAGCCCAGTGCACCAACCGTGCCACTACCGCAGCGGCGTCTGATGCGACAGTAACCTGGGACATGTGCCAGCTTTCTATTTTCAGCAGCTGGAATCTGGCCCTGGAGCAGGATCAGTAATGGCATGTAGCTGCTCATTATAAAAGGTGAAAATGGAGGGCAACAATAATCGCTCTTGTAAAGGGTCTCGGTGTCCAATTGGTTCATATTCCGTGGAAGGTCACAACGATCATGAAAATTGCTAGAGGTTGATTGATCCGACAATGCCAGATCTGATTGGTCAAATTACTTTCATGATGGACAGTGTGGTGAGGCCTTCTTTCAGAGTTGGATTGATTGTTGCATCCTTCATTTAACCACGAGATAAAATGATTGAGATACGTAAAAAAGTTACAAATTATTATCATTAGTCTGAGTACACATAAACAATACATGGATAGTGTACTCTCTATGCTTACAGTTCATCTAGATTTCCAAATGTATTGTGTATATGCACATAAACTATACGAGCACAGTATATTTAACACACACAACAACACCTGCTATCTGCCATTACTTGGAGAGGTGATGGTTCCACATTCCCTGTGACAGACTTGGTGCACTTTGAGGCCACATTAAGTTTCAAGGGCTTTCTGGCAGGAGATTGTGGGATAGGTCCATGTGTTATGGGTCCATGTGTTGTGGGTCTGTCTATCTAGTACACCGTTCTCAAATGGGCTTTAGGATTAAATATCGCACTACTATCAGGATACGGCACTTGAATGACAACGTGCACGTTTGCAACAAAAAAAATATTGGACTACAGTCCTTACACATTCCTTCCATGCACACTTCACATTAAAACAATCCACAACAACTTGTTATGTAACGTTTTTGTTTTGTATTGCCACTGCCTCTGCAGTGCAAGGGGCTGTCTCGTGAATATTTTATTTTATCTCGGTGGGTTCAGCCGGGTTCTTTCCCGACTAAATATACTCGGTTAGAATTTTTTTGTCAAACGCGGGTATGCTGCCATTTGTACAACGGACGTCTGCAATCCAATTCCCTCCAATCCCCGATTTGGAAATATATTATTCACCGCTGTGAACAGTTGATGAATCACCCTCGTGTATGACAGTGAATAAGTTATTGCATTTATTTCTCGCGTTGCACAAACTGTTACAGTTTTTTTTTAGCGTAAGCTGGATATCTTGTTTACATTGGATAGCAGAGGCAAGGGTTCATGTTATTTTGGAAGAGTGTGATGACTTCTGAAAATGGAATCTTTTCAATTCATAAGCATAAAGCTTTTGTGTAAGAGGCACTTAAAATATTCCACGAGTCAGAAATTGCTGGCCTGCATGTACTCTGTACAAGATTTGTCCCTATTATTGTGTGATGACACGTCACATCAATCCAGATAATTCTCAACTGGTTCGTTATCCAATCACGGATTGATATAACAAAGATCACCCACACTGTATTTAAAATCCTTAATTAATTTTCCCTCGCACAACTCTTTTCTCACATGTTGGTCTCCTCTTCTGTACATTCTGCTCAAGGACGCTGGGATTTATGTCAGCACCACAAATCAACTCCACTCTGTGGGTGGTCACCTGTTGTCCGTGATCTCCATTCCCTGCTGAGTCTGCCCCTTGTTTAATAATTTTGTCAACACCACAGTTGCCTCCAATCGTGACAGTGCCTCCACATCGCACTCTGTCCCACGATTGCCCTTTTCCACATACCTACCTAAGGGAGGGGGCGGTGGGGGCAATTGCTCACCTCCACCCTGATAATTTTCTAGATCCGCCTCTGCCACTACTCTACATTTTATTTTATATTTGTCATACATTCACGGTCGGAACCCATGCATTTCCTAGTGTTTGTGGTACATCGCCACCCATAACGCCACCTAGTGAAATACCCCTCCCAACTGTCACTTCTGCCTTATGAAAGATCCAACGCAGAAGGCTTTGATCTTCCACGATGCTCATAAGCCACCCTAAATCACATTCACTGCACAAACCATGGCAGTAGATGCCGATACCAAATGCACAAATGGGAAATTAATAGCGACTGTGGTCATCCAGAACAGACCATCCATCATATAACGACGCAACGCCCTGATCCACAAATATGACGGAGATATCACGGCAATACACCGCTGCTCCTGACGTGGTTATCTGGCTTGACCACCTAAATGTGAAATTGTCGTTGTTGCTCTGCATCTACATCAGCCAAACGAAAGAAGAACAAGACTGCAAGGGTGAAATGTGCAGAGTGCCTGAGAGCTCCCTAGCTTGGACTTTTCAGTCTAAAAATATATGTTATTGATATTATTCAAGTTATTCAATAAGCAATAGAATGTAGGAAATATTTTAGCTTCTGAACCGGTGTACTTTTCACCATTGTTTTCCTATTTTGGGTTTCAGGTTATTTTTGTTGGTCTGAAATAATAATATAGCCACACTTTCAGCTGTTTTGAGTTGGTGGTCTAGAGTAGGCTGAGAGCATTACATATGCTATGTGGTGATCACATGGCTTGCATGCAAGGCATGATGGAAGTCATGCCTTCTTGCTGTTTGTAAGCACACCTATGTGGATACTTATTCTATGATTGAAGAACGTACATTTAGTTGAGATAAAATGTTTGCATTTGGGATTTGGCCTGTTGTACCAAAAGACAATATATCACTGGTTTTTCCCCTCAATGTTACAGAGTGCATATGTTTCTATCAATGTTCTCTGTACTGTATAATGTGGTAGAAGTGGAATTAAACTCGTAAAAGCATTACATATGGTACTATATTTGGCCCCCACAGGGGCCCCTCTTATACTCTCAGCGTGGCCTCGCTCCGCCCCCAGCCACGCCCCCTTTCTGGAATCTACTAGCGGTTCCCGAGGCTCCCCGATGGGCCCCTTCTGTGACCTTTCCCCTAGATGTCCCCCTCTCGTGTATATCCTGGCCTGCTGACGTCAGTACTGCCGTACACCGCAGATCCCCTTTTTCGCCAGCAGCCAGCGCTATGCCACTACACATCCAACATAAGCACCTTTTATGAACATTGCTTTTTCTGCACGTGTTATTTGATGCTTGTGCCATTGCGCCGAGCCAATATTAATCGGTGAATCGATGCAATTTATACCCCTCCACTTCGTCACGTGCTCTGAACGCCTAATGTTGGGTAAACAGCACAGGTGTCCCTACACTTGCTTCTATGCTATTCATATTTTTTCTTGTGGTTTTTAAGCCTCTGGCTATTGCTTATGCAACTATGATAAAAGGGGGTGAAGAAGTTACACTCAGGCAGATCACGTGAAAGTGGGAGGACCCACTGAGCCACGCCCACTCACCATGTGTGTGGGAAGGTGTGGCCTGACCTACGATATGATGGCAAGGTTTAAGGGTGGACTATAGCAATCTATAGTTCAGCCTTAAAACACAGTAATTCATTGTGGGAATAATATACTCTTAGTGGCACACTTGCAACACTTGCCTCATCCAGATAGCCATTGTATGTAGGCATATTAGATCCTAACTGTTCTGTCACCTTGAAAAAAATCCTTTAGCAAGTCATTATAATCGCGCTTCTGACCTCACCCCTTTAAATTTGCGGCCTTCTGTGCTGTCCTTTAGCAGTTGGCCTGGATTTTTCTCTCATGTCCTCAAGCTACATGGGGTGCCACGGTGGCGAGATGTTAACTACCTCGCCTGGTATGCAGGAGGTCGTGGGTTCCATCCCGACCCTGACACCTGTATATTTGGAGTTTGCATATTCTCTCCCCGTGGGTGTGTTTTTCTCCGGGTCCTCTGGTTGTTCATTCTACATTTAGAATTTACCTGCGTTTTGGGTATTTGGCTGCAATACATTTCAACACGATAACCCACTATATAACTTAGTGGGCCTTACCTGGTAAAATAAAACTAGTTTAGTTTTATAGTTTATTTTATATTCACCAAAACATGTTTGTGAGCTTGCAATTCATGCTGTCATTAAAGTACTCAAGTTTTTGCGAATGGCCATCTCGACCAGTGGACCGCGAGGCAATGCTAGAAAATCCACATTCTTGTGCAAGGTAGCCATTCTCTCAAAAGGGAAAACACTTGATGGCCTACTAGTGGTGGCAGGATTAGCCTTTGCAAATGGTCCGTGAATAACACTGCCACCCAGCAGTTGGCAGCAGCTGCACCCTAAAAACGACAGGAGGCAGGAAAGTGCTGCTCGTAATAACACGAAGGGCAACTGGATGGTTATGCGCATCAATTTGGCTCACCGGGGGAAAAGGTTTGCTGCATCTGCCAGGAACACATGTCTTTTAACCAATAACTGGGTGTGTTCTTTGACCTGCCAGGGAGGCTTCACTACTCCATGTGGTCTCGAAGTATATCACTGCCAATTAGTGTTTTTTGTTGGCGTATGCATGTGTTTTGTGTGTGTGCATGCATCTGTACATACAGACACAGGAGTTTGTGTGTATGGAGAGCTATGGTGCAGTAAATGTGCACTTCACAACAAACCCAGCAGCTTGGGTAACATCACTGACGCCGCATTGGCCCTGTGTTGAATCCTGAGACTACGTGGAGTGGTGTGCAAACATCGGCATAGGGGAGAATATCACAGCCGGTTCTGATAATGTCCACATGACCGCGAGCACTCGGCACTCGTGCCTACGATCGTTTAAGGCTAAATAGCGATGTTTATATGCGTGCGTACGTGCAGGGTTACCTGCGCAAGGGACAGGCCCTGCGAGGCCTTGGCCAGGTGGAGCGGGCCCTCGCGGCGTTCCTCACGTGCACGGCGCTGGAGCCTGGCCTCCGTGCTGCTCGCACCGAAGCGGAGAAGGTGAGTAGGTGGCCTATGTCCCGGGCACCACCATTTGCCTCATGGCTACTGGAGGGGGTGTGGGGTGGCAAGCCTTACCCTTTGATTGAATTAAGTGCGACACTGGATGTTGCATTTCCCTTTCCTTTTTTCCACTGCTCAACTGTGCCATGCCAGGGCCATCCCGAGGCAGCCCGTCACGGCTTCAGAGGCTCCAGTTTGTTTTTCCACTGCAAAACACCTCGCTTATTTGTGAATTGACCTCGGGGGTAGAGATTTAGGTTTCATTTAATTTGGCTGATATAGATGTTCACGTGATAAGCTACTTCATTGTGATAGCTAGGGCGCTTCTGAAAAAGAGCTATACAGCTGAATGGGCCTTATCTGATAAAAGAAAAAATAGTTTAGTTTTAGTATAGTGTTAATTTGCCGGGAATGTTGTGCATGGTACCAGCGTCGTTCATGGCCCGTTCTTTTCTCTTTTCCACTGTTGCGGCTGTATCGAGCCAGCCCGGCGTGGGCCAGGAGGCGCCAGGTTGTTTTTCACTGCAGAAACCGAGCTGTGCCACCGACGTCACACGCAATAAATGAGTCGAGACGCATGTAGAGGACGCGGCGATGCCGTGTATTTGAGTTGTGTACTCACGTCACACGCCCTGCATGAGCCCCAAGCCAGATTCGGATGTCTTGTAAGGCCGGCGTATCGCTTTTCGGTTTCGGCTTGGCACGCAAGTAGCCAGTGGAAAACCACTCGTAAACGTGAGGGCCCCCGCGCTGGCTCTGCTCGGATGTGCCAGTGGAAAATGGGGATTAGAATTCATCATGGGAATGTGGAAAGGAACAGAGGCCTGACCTGTCGTGTCTCCATGTGCAATGTCTTTCTTTGAATTTTTTGCCAGATTCTGTGGGAGGTGCTCGCCCCCAACACGGAGAGCATGTGCGAGGGGCTGAGACCCCCCTCTCCGCACAGCCGCAGCAAGGAGACGCTGTTCTTCCCTCTGGCCCACAACCACTGGGACCCCCCCTTCGCCTCCGCACGTCACATTGTGAGACCCTCACTCGCGTGCGTGACACCTAGCAGGTGGTGAGTGTCGCGTGGCCGTAATAATAATAATTTACATTTATAAATCACCCTTAAACAATCGTTCCCAGGGTGCTATGCATGGAAAGGCGGGAAATAGTTAACAACAACCAAGTAAAGAAGAAGTGAGAAAGACGGCTGAAAATAACTAAAGAGAGGAAGCCATTGTAAACAGATTAGTTTTTCGTTGAGATTTGAGGATTTGTAAGTGCTCTGCATTCGTGCCCTCGAATGGGCAAGGAGTTCCAAAGTTCAGGTGCCGCAATTGCAAAGGCACGATCACCCTAAGTGTGAAACCTCGACCGTGGGACAGTGAGCAATGTACAATCTGAAGATTTTAATGATCTAAGTGTCATGTGACCTTAGTGCTTTCAGCACGTCGTGAAGTCTGCCTGCTGTTTGCCCATCGGGTTCAGAAGCGTTAATCGTGGCTTGCGATCTGTCGCTGATCCCCTTCTCATTGTAATGTGCTGTTTAAATTGACAGCCAATTGCCGATTGGAAATGGTGACCTGGAAATGCCATTGCATCTAACACAGCACGGGATTTGACTTTTGACCAATTCTACACTGATAAAAGTACCCAATTTACAGTTTGAAAGGTTCTTAACTCAGGCCCGGGTGAGAGCTCAGCTCAGGCCATCGCATCTGTTGAGTCGATAAAACGGTGTAAATTTGTGTGAATCGTGGTGATCCTATGGAGAAATCTGGCCTGTGCTTCATGTGGGTCAACCATTCTGGCTGGATACAATTATACACCCTCCAGGGTGGCTGGATAACCAGCACGGTCAGTACCTGTTCCACTGAGCCCAGTTGCGTGGGTTCCACACGTGACGAGTCCATGGTGGGCTCTCCGATGTTTTTAATTTTCGGCTTGTGCTGCGCATTGTTCGGCATTACGTCTGACGTTTTGCAACACCACATGCGAAAATCAATTCACTGGAACTTCAGGAATTTGAATTCGGTTGCTGGAGAAGCTTGCGGGTGCATGGAACGAAACGTCGGACCTCGTGTAGGACAACACACACGGTATAACCCGAACGCATGTCGGGGAACTGTTACGGCACAACTGCATATACCTTATTCTTAGTTTTTTCGGTAAAGTCACGTTGAAGAGAAACAACAAAATAACAAAATATATATAAAACAATAAAAAATTCTCACGACGTTTCGACCATAACTCAAACGGTCATCATCAGGTGTGTCGGTTTGCATAAATTTATTTTGAAAACGGCATATTTATTTATATATATATATAAAAATAACGTTTGCGTCACGCGCAACGATTGGCTGTTTGCCAGGACTAGTCCATCTATTTTTTGAAAAGAGGAGGGGGGAGACGAAATTTGTTTTTATGTATGCTGTCTGAAAGCCACTGTAAGCGTGAACAATCAATCAAGAACTGAAATTATTTATCAAATCTTTCCAATGATTGCTAAGATAGAATCCATCTTCTCGGTTGAAATTGTCTCTGTGTTTGTATATGTGGATAGCCTCATGAACGAATCTCTCATGGAAGCCAGATGGCTTACAAAGAACCTCCGTCTTGGAAAAGTCAATGGCATGTGAGCCTACTGAATTAGAACAATGATCTGCTACGGCCGAGGTGTTGGTCCTACCGTGTTTAAGGTCTGCTTTATGTTCACGAATGCGGTCCGAGATATGGCGTTTGGTTTCTCCAATGTAACTACTACCACAGAGGCAACTTAGTTTGTAGACACCAGGGTATTGTATGTCCGGAATCACATCTTTTACAGACGGAACCAGATCACGGATTTTATGTAATGTGTTGAAACGGACCTGGATCTTGTGTTTATTCAAGATTTTGGAGATCTTTTTTGTGATCCCAGCAATGTAGGGTAAAGTGATGGTTTTGAAAGGCTCCTCAAGAGGGTTTTTCTTCATGGTTTGAGTGATAGCTTTGCGGATTGTATAGTCGGAGTAACCATTAGCCCTAAGAGCTTGGTGTACGTGCTTGAGTTCACTGCTTATGTGTTCCTGGTCGGATATGCATTGGGCTCTATGATACAGAGTCTTGATGAGAGAATTCTTCTGTGATGGATGGTGGTGGGAATCCGGTTTCAGATAAGCATCCGTATGGGTAGCTTTCCTGTAGACAGAGTGGCTCATTGAACCATCAGGTCTCTTTTTAATTAGGACATCCAAAAAAGGTATCTTGCCATCTATTTCGACTTCCATGGTAAATCTGATGGCTGGGTGTATGGAATTGATGTGGTCGAAGAATTGGTCTAGAGCAGGCCGGCCATGTGGCCAGATGACAAAAGTGTCATCCACGTACCTCTTCCATAAGGTTGGGCGCAGAGTGGCAGTCTGGATGGCGTCAGTCTCAAATTTCTCCATGAAAATGTTAGCTATAACTGGAGAAAGGGGGGAGCCCATTGGGGTGCCCTCAGTTTGTTTGTAGAAAGTTCCATTCCAAGTGAAGTATGTATTGGTTAAACAGTGTCTCACCAGGGGGGGTACCTCAGTGTTTAGTCCTTGATGAACCAAGTCTTCAATGATTGCAATGGTGTCAGGTACAGGAACCTTGGTGAATAAGGAAACTACATCAAAACTGACAAGCAGGTCGTCTGGGGACAGGGAAATACCCTTGATTGTTGATACCAGGTGAGTAGAATTTTGTACCGCAGAGGTGGTCTTTCCAGTGAAAGGACGCAGGATTTCAGACAAAAAACGAGCTAGTTTGTAGGTGGGGGAGCTGATAGTAGAGACTATGGGACGAAGAGGTGTATCAACTTTATGTATTTTTGGTAAGCCGTATAATCTTGGTGGCCTGGCAGCAGAAGGTTTCAACGAAAACTGTTTAGATTGATCAATTAATGCGGTTGAATCAGAAATTATTTTGTTGGTTTGTGTGACGAGGCTGTTGGTGGGATCTCTTTTTATTTTTGTATAACTACCATCGTCGAGTAATTCTTTAATTTTGTTGTTGTATTCTATTTTATCCATGATAACAGTAGCATTGCCTTTGTCAGCTGAGAGAACTACAATATCATTCCTCTTTTTTTTTAATTTATATAATTCAAAACGCTCATCTTTGCTGAGGTTACTAGCTGGCATCTTAGCGTTTTTGAGGGTTGCAACGATTTCAGATCTTGCTACGTCTGCAGCGATGTGACCCAGGCCCCTGAGAGCAACGTCTACTTGGGCAATTATATCATTAACTGGTATGTGTTTAGGTGTGACTGCAAAGTTTAGACCTTTAGCTAAAACGGATTTCAGACCATCGGAAATAGAACTGTTACTGCGATTAATTACGACTTTATTAACGTCTAACTTTTTGGTGTGTGGGTCCGGTCTTTTGTTGAAAAGGAGGTTAAATTTGGAAATCAGGTTTTCCTTACATTTGGTCGACATAGTAGCAGCTGAAGAGGCAGTCATATTGTCTACATGTTCCCAATCCGATGTGGACATTATTGCCGTCAATGATAAGTGTGATTTGTAGAGTGTCTTGTCTAACTGATCTAGTTCTGTGCGTATAAGTCTGATTTTTTCTGAGATAAGAGCTAAGCTAGTTTTGAAAATAATTCGTTTCGCATTAGAAGAAGTTACAGTAGCAGAGGTGAGTGTAAATGCGATTGGTATTACCCCAGAGTCGCGGCATCTCTTCAGGAAGGTGAGAGACTCGATCAGCTGAGCTTTCTTATCCCGGAGTTTGTTGAAGGATCTTAAAGTTAAGTGAAAACCCTCCCCGTAGAGGCGATTAAATTTTGATTTAAAGCTTTCGTGACTGCAGTAATTCATATTCTTAGTTTTTTCGGTAAAGTCACGTTGAAGAGAAACAACAAAATAACAAAATATATATAAAACGATTGGCTATCCACATATACAAACACAGAGACAATTTCAACCGAGAAGATGGATTCTATCTTAGCAATCATTGGAAAGATTTGATAAATCATTTCAGTTCTTGATTGATTGTTCACGCTTACAGTGGCTTTCAGACAGCATACATAAAAACAAATTTCGTCTCCCCCCTCCTCTTTTCAAAAAAAATAGATGGACTAGTCCTGGCAAACAGCCAATCGTTGCGCGTGACGCAAACGTTATTTTTATATATATATAAATAAATATGCCGTTTTCAAAATAAATTTACGCAAACCGACACACCTGATGATGACCGTTTAAGTTATGGTCGAAACGTCGTGAGAATTTTTTATTGTTTTATATATATTTTGTTATTTTGTTGTTTCTCTTCAACGTGACTTTACCGAAAAAACTAAGAATATGAATTACTGCAGTCACGAAAGCTTTAAATCAAAATTTAATCGCCTCTACGGGGAGGGTTTTCACATAACTTTAAGATCCTTCAACAAACTCCGGGATAAGAAAGCTCAGCTGATCGAGTCTCTCACCTTCCTGAAGAGATGCCGCGACTCTGGGGTAATACCAATCGCATTTACACTCACCTCTGCTACTGTAACTTCTTCTAATGCGAAACGAATTATTTTCAAAACTAGCTTAGCTCTTATCTCAGAAAAAATCAGACTTATACGCACAGAACTAGATCAGTTAGACAAGACACTCTACAAATCACACTTATCATTGACGGCAATAATGTCCACATCGGATTGGGAACATGTAGACAATATGACTGCCTCTTCAGCTGCTACTATGTCGACCAAATGTAAGGAAAACCTGATTTCCAAATTTAACCTCCTTTTCAACAAAAGACCGGACCCACACACCAAAAAGTTAGACGTTAATAAAGTCGTAATTAATCGCAGTAACAGTTCTATTTCCGATGGTCTGAAATCCGTTTTAGCTAAAGGTCTAAACTTTGCAGTCACACCTAAACACATACCAGTTAATGATATAATTGCCCAAGTAGACGTTGCTCTCAGGGGCCTGGGTCACATCGCTGCAGACGTAGCAAGATCTGAAATCGTTGCAACCCTCAAAAACGCTAAGATGCCAGCTAGTAACCTCAGCAAAGATGAGCGTTT